TAAAAATGAATTTAATTGATTTTTTCCCCTCGAAAACATGCTGGGTGTTTGTTCTTTTGTTATTCTTCTAGTAGTTGCACTAGAGATTATGAAGCGCATTACTGAGTTATTTTATCGTTCTTTCTCTTTTTGAAATGGGGTCTCACTGTGTTGCCCAGGCTGGTTTTGAACTCCTGGGTTTGAGTGATCCTCTTGTCTCAGCCTCCTGAGGATCTGGGATTATAGGTGTGCACTGCTACACCCAGATCTTTTTATTTCATTTTTTTATTGTAGAATACACAAAACATAAATGTCACCACGCCAGCCCTGGGTTCAGTCCCCAGTACCCCCTCCGAAGTTACCGTTTGGGACATTTTGTCAGTGCATAGTTCAGGGACACCACTGACCCATTGTGCAGCCATCTCCACCACTCATCTCCAGGAGCACTTCATGGTTCCAAGCTGAAACTCTGCGCCTGCTTGCTGGTAGCTACACCTCCACTCGCGTCCCTGCATACCCACATGCTGATTCAGCCTCCGGGATCTGACTACTCTAGGCTCCTCGTCAAAGTGGAATCATGTAGTATTTATTCTTTGCTGGTTTATTTCACTTAATGTCTCCAAGGTTCACTCGTGTTGTAGAATGAGTCAGAATTCTTTTCTTTCTGAATAATAAAATGTGGTATACAGAACCACATTTTATTTACCCATTCATCTGTCGAGGGACATGTATTTCATTCCCACCTTTGGGTTATTGTGAATAAGGCTCCAATGAACATGGATGTATGGGCATCTCACCAAGTCTCTGTTACTATTTTTCTTTGGTACTGGGGATGGAACTCAGGACCATGGGCTTGCAAGGCAGGTGCTTATACCGTGAGCTAAATCCCTGGCCTCTACAAGTCTCTGTTATAATTTGGGATTTATACCCATAAGTGGAGTTGCTGGAGCATCTTGTAACTCCATGCCTAATTTTTAAAAGAAACTTCATGCTGTTTTTCATGACTGCACCATTTTACATTTCCACTGCAGTGCACTGGGTTCATTTATTCACATCCTTACCAAGGCTCCTGCTGTAGCATAATAGTCATTCTAATGGGAGTGAAGTAGACTCTTATCGTGGCTTTGATTTGTATTTGCCTCATGATGAAATTTTTTTTTTTTTGTCTTTTTCCTTTTTATCGGTACCAGAAATCAAACTCACGACTGCCTGCTTTGCAAGGCAGGCGCTTATGCCGCTGAGCTAAATCCCCAGCCCCCTCGTGATGAAATTTGAGTCTTTATTTGTTTTTTTTCCATCACTGACTTTTCAAAGTCTCATTCAAATCATTACTTTTATTTTTTTTCCTGACAGGGAAGGACCTCAGAAGACTTGGTCTTCATTTTCCATCTTACTGTTTATGCTCTGCTACCATCATGTAATTTAACTCTAGGTATCATTTGAAGTCCCTCAAGTGTTATTTTTATTTTATACCACAAATATTGATTTATATTTTCTGAAACATTTTCATTGCTTATATTTTGATTCTTCATTTGTTTTTACTTTTTATGGTTTTTCTTTCTTTTTTTTTTTTTTTTTTTTTGAGACAACGTTTCACGATTTAGGTCAGGCTGGCCTTGAACTCACTGAGCTCCTCTGCCTCAGCCCCCCAAATACTGGGATTACAGGTGTGTGCCACCATATGCAAATGATCTCTCAATTCTAACCCATTTTTCTTCGGTACTAAGCATGGTCTTCTGCTTTTTTCTGTGAGTGAATGAGTGTGTGTGTGTGTGTAAGTTCTTATTTTATATTCATGTATTTTTTCATTGATTTTTTTTTTTTTTTTGGTACCGGGGATTGCACTCACGACCTCGTGCATGCCAGACATGCCACTGAGCTAAATCCCTAGCCCTTCATTGATCTTTTCAGACAGGCTTTTGCTGAGGTGCCCAGGCTAGTCTCAAACTGAGATGCTTCCACCTTGGCCGCGTAAGTAACTGGGATTACAAGTGTGCGTCATCACATGCATATTTATTAAGATTATTCTCAGTGGGTATAGAATTCTGGGTTGGCAGACATCTCCCTTATCACTTTGAAGATACAGTATCATTGCCTGTTTTGACTTCTATTCTTCCATTGTCATGGTATTGCTTAATGGTAGATATCTGGATTTATCTGGCTTCTTTTACGGTTTTCTTGCCCTGGATTTGATATTTACAAGCTATACTCGGATGTGCTTAGGTTTGATTTTCTTTGAATTTATCTTGCTGAAGGTTCATGGTGTGTTTTGAACCTGTGACTTTTTTTTTTTTTTTTTTTTTTTTTTTTTTTTTGGTACTGGGGATTGAACTCTTAACCTTATGCTTGCCAGGCAGGCGCTTATGCTTATGAGCTAAATCCCCAGCCCCTACCTGTGACTTGCCTTTCCTCAACAATTTTGGAAAATTCTCTGCCATTATTTTTTCAAATGTAGTTGTCCCTCAGTATTCTCAGACAACTGGTTCCAGGATGGCCTGTGGATACCAAAACCTCTGGATGTTCATGGCCAATGTGTAAAATGGCATGGTATTTAAATACAACCCCAGTGGGCCACGGATGTAGCTTAGTGGCACAGCACCTGCCTGGCAAGTGCTAGGTCCTGAGTTTGATTTCCAGTACCAAAAAAGCCATTAAATATAGCCTCTGCATTCCCTTCTATATGCTTTAAAGCATCACTAGATTACTTATAATACCTGGTATAGTGCAAATGTTGCATAAATAGCTGTATTGTTTAGGGGAAAAAGAAAGGGCTGTACATGTTCAGCTCAGATGCCAGCTTCATAGGCCGAGGTGACAGAACACGATGTCCACTTGGTTGACCCTATGAAGGGGACTCACAGGTATGGACAGACAACTGTATTCCATCCGCCAGTTTTCTCTTCCTCTTCTCTTCCTGAGTCTCCACATTTAGGCATATCAGACTTCTTAAATTAGCCTCTTACTTATTTATGCTCACTTTCGTATTTTCTTTCTTTTATTCTTTCTTCAGTCTTTTTTCTTCTGGTCTGTGTTACTCCAGCTTACTTATTTAGTCTGGTGCGATCCATCCTTTGAATTCTTAATGTTGGTTGTTATGCAGTTCTAATATTTCCCTTTGATTTTTTTTTTTTGTCTTTTTGAAACTAGCCAAAAGGCTAGCATTTACCGGAGCGTCTCCCCTACATTGGCCCCTCAACTCCAATGTTTGCCATCCTAGTCCATGAGACTGCCAACACTTGCAAGCTTTGCACTCTTGGGCTGCTGCCCTATCTTTCAGAATTGACAGTCACATTAATGGGAAAGGGGTCCTAATTAACACACACACTTCTCTTAACTTTCCTGTTTCTTGGTCCTGAAAAATCCTATAGCACTAGAAACTCTCCTCTTAAATCTTTGCTTTGAATGAGCACTGTATTACCACTGATGGTGGAAAAGTTTACTTTGTGAAGTTTACCAGTTAAATATCAGAGTTGACAATGTGAGTCACCTAACGCAGTTTTCTACAAGCTACAGATTAAACTTCTAGTCTCTCTAGAAAGTGGTCACCCAGCTTGTGCATAAATATTTCCAGAAAGGGAAAGAGTTCCATTCAAGCCAGCCAGACTATTCCATTTTAAATGGCAACAATTATTAGAAAATGTCCTATTTCACTGAACAACTAGTAAAAAAACCCACCCATTTTTGTAGCCCTCGTGTTAGCCTTCTTTTCTTCTTCTTCTTCTTTTTTAATTTACTTACTTTTTTCTTTTTTCTTTCTTTTCTTCTTCTTCTTTTTTGAGACAGGGTCTCCCTATGAAGTTTACGCTGACCTTGGATTTTTAACTTAATTAATTAAATGCTTTTTGTTTTTTTGAGACAGGGTCTTTCTATGAGTTCAGGCTTCCCTTGAACTCAATATGTAGTCCAGGCTAGCCTCAAATTTATAATAATCCTCCTGCCTCAGCCTCCCAAGTGCTGGGATTACAGGCATGCACACCATGCCCAGCCCCAGAATTTTGTATTTAAAACTAGTGTATTAACTTTTTCTTTAAAAAAGTTTTAGTTTAATGTAGTCTATTGCAAAAACTTTACAACTAGGCTTCTGTCATCTCAAGGAACTTTGTGTCATCTGCAATGTGATGAATATTCCTCTGTATTCTTGGGGACTTTTTGTTTTTGCTTTTTGCAGGGGTTTGGACCTGCTTAAAACAAGGTTCCTTGTGCTGTTCAGGTTGGCCTTGAACTCACTAAGTAGCCCAGGTTGGCCTCCAACTTGTGGCAATCCACTTGCCTCAGCCTCCTGAATTCTGGAATTATAGGCACGTGCCATCACACTTGGCAATTAACAGACATTTTATTTTGGTACTGGGAGTTGAATTCACAACCTCGCCGCTTGCCAGGAGGCACTGTTCCACTGAGCTATATCCCTAGCCCATGGACATTTTAAAGACAGTTGAACAGAATGTGACATATAGAAGATCCATAGGGAAATCAGTGGGCATTTTCAAGACTTGCTGCAAAATCACTGACCCACAGTGTTTGGGCACATTTTCCATTAAATATAAATTCCCTTAATATTAATTATTACTTCTGTTTTCTTACTATCTTAAACTCTAGAACATTTTCTGTGATTGCCAAATGGCTCATAGAAAACCCCCCCAAAACACTGTCTATAACATTCTCATAACAATTCATTTAGTAATTTCTTGAAAAAAGCAAAAGAGTTTAATATGTCATGACTTCTACTGGGTGAACAAATCATACCAATTAATTCGGATTTTCAAATTAATTTAGGAGTATACTTTTAGATGAATAAGGACACGTGCTGTAACATGGGGGCTAAAGAGAAAACTTGAAAACGACATTATTAGAATTTGGAATCGTAGGGGGCTGGGGATTTAGCTCAGCGGCATAAACACCTGCCTTGCAAGTGCGCAGTCGTGAGTTTGATCCTTGGTACCGGAAAAAAAGAAAAAAGAAAAAAAGAATTTGGAATTGTAGAAATACTTAGTACCCTGAACGTGTGTCTGTTCTATCCCCAGGCTTCCTTCTGCCCCATGTCTACTGCAGTGCCAGGCGTCACGGGAGCTGTGTTGTGGATTTACCCTCTGGCATGGCATCAGTGAGCACTTGTTCATCCTGCAGTAAATATTACTGAGCGCTCCATTTATTCTAGGCTTTGTGCTGAGACCTGGACTTTCTCACAACACTGCTGCCCCTGCTCCCGGGTATGTTTCTCAGCCCTGTGAGCAGACACGGAGAAAAGGGCACAAGCATGTGGAATCTGGTGTATAAAACACAGATACAAATTTCCTCTGCTTTCTAAAACAGATTCTAAAATAAAAGAGCCATGTAAGCAGAGCTAGGTATAGTGGTGCACACCTGTAATCCCAGCACTCAGAAGGTTGAGGCAGGATCACTGTGAGTTCAAGGCCAGTTGGGGTTACATAATTAATTCAAGGCCAGCCTGGACTACAAAGTGAGAGCCTGACTCAAAATAAATACATAAGGGCCGGAGGTTTAGCTCAGTGGTACAAGCGCCTGCCTGGCAAGTGCAAGGTCACGAGTTCAATCCCCGGTACTGCAAAATAAATAAATAAATAAATAAATAAATAAGCAAGCAATCCTTCTTGGCAATTTACATTTGCCTAACATTTGGGCTACAGTATGAAGCTAGTGAATTATCTTCAATGTATTCTTTTATTTGGACTTTCTAAATAATGGTCTACAGAATCTGTCATGTTGTAAGTATTTTATCATGTAGAACAGTTGCCATATTTGTGAATAACCATGTCCCTAATTTTAAGATACTTGATATCATTGACTCATTCTTGTAATACCTCTTTAGCATTCCTCAGATGGATTGCAAGGTATTTAATATTCCTAAGGGTATAAAGTTAAATCTGAAAATTCTGACTTCTAGTACTATTTTTCTAGGATATAGGACAATGTATTAGTTAGGGTTGTCTAGAGGAATGGATTCAATAGAAATAAATGTGATTATATGAAGGATTTAGTAGATAGACGAATGGCTTTGACACACTCTTGCTTGCTGTGAGAACTGGCTGGCCCATGAGTCTCGACTGGCTTCCTTCTTTGGACAAAGCTCTTCACAAATCTGCTCCAGGCAAGACAAGTCGGTCCCATTCTCAGAACCACTCAAAGAAGAAGTCTGCTTAGATTCTGGCTCCAGGGACATTTCCACCTGTACAGTCATAGGCTTTGCTTCTGCTGGAAAGGAGCAGTTTGCAAATGGGAAAGAGAAATAAATTTAAAACAAATCTAGTCAAGATCGATTATAACGTAACACTAAATTATGAAAAATTAAATATATAAGTCTTGGTCAATTTTCCCCTAATGGAGGAAAAAAGCCTGCTGGAAATTATTAGATAAATTGGTAAAATATGGCTAGGCATGGCGGTGCATATGTGTAATCCCAGCACTTGAGAGTCTGAGGCAAGAGAATTACCCCAAGTTTAAGGCCAGCCTGGGCTCTATGGTGAGTTCAAGGACAGCCTGAACTACAAGATTGAGACACTGCCTCAAAAACAAGCAGACAAAAAACAAAGCCTTCACCATATAATCACCTTCTAAAGGCCCCCACTCTTACTAGTATTACACTGAATACTGGACTTTAAAGAACAAATTTTAGTGGGACACAAACATTCAGACCACAGTGGCCACCATCCTACGGTCATCTGGACTGATGACCTCTAGGCCTGGTACACAACTGTTAAGATGGGACTTTTTTTCAACTGTTCACCTGTAGTAGACCCTTGTTTTCTGGCTCCCATGTTTATTACTATACATCAACTGTCCAGAAAATACATTCCAGCTAGTGTAAACCAAAGACACTTACCTGACTTTTACAGTCACTGTGAAGGCTGAGAGAAGTCTCTAGGCAGAGCTTCCAGAGTTCTCCCAACGCCACAGTGTGGCACTGGACTGTCAAGGCAGCTGCTGTCTCTGTCACGATCAGGAAGTGGCCACATCAGAAAGCAGCTTCCACAATGACCAGCACCAAGCCAGGGCCTCCTCTGCGATATCAAAAGTTCCAGAACTGAAAAGTCTCCTGCTAAATCGGGAGAACACCTGGGAACCAGCACAAAGCCACATTTCACCTCACCAGTTACATTTCTACCCTTAGCTAATGCATTTCCAAGTTGTGTTCTTTCCAAATGCATCTGCTTAATTGAATGCCAATAATCTGGATCTGGAAACCTATTTTAAGGGACGCTGGGAGTTTTGACTCTTGGCTTTGTATCCTTTGTGTTACAGGAAGGCATCCTGAGACAGGCAGAAGAGAGGTGTTGTGCGTGCCATTCCACAGTGCGTCCCACAGCCCTGTTGGTGTCCTGGCCTTCACACATGCCTTTCTTTCTGTTGGTAACTTCCACTAACCTTAATGCAATGCTCCGATAGTTTGTATAAGTGAGAATATTTGCAGCGTCTTCTCCCAAGAAGAGATCCAGAAATTTCTCTGTCACTGTTCCTATCTCGAGGTGGTTGTTCCTCCTCTCCTTTATCACAATCTCACCCTTAATAACCTGTAACATGTGCATTAAACAAAGTCATAAATTTTTTTAAAATCAGTACCGGGGATTGAACTCACGACTCTACAAGCTTGCAGGGCAGGTGCTTATGCCACTGAGTTCTAAATCCCCAGCCCCTAACCCCCTTTTTTTGAATCAAAGTCATAAATTAAACACTATATAAAATAGTAAGAGAAAAAAATGAGATAAAAGGAAACTTGGTCACTTTATAAAAATATATTCATAGGAAAAAGTACACGTAGCTACTCCTGTCCAGTTTTTGCAACTGATGATGAAGAATGTTTAAGTTTCATTATGGCCGACTCCATGACTGTGCCATATTCCTGTCAATCCCACAAGGTGAGTTTTTTCTCTGCTAGAGTGGTCAAACCTTTGTTGTTGAAGTATTTGAGCATTGCTGGCTGTGTTATGTATGGAGGTGGATGAGGTTCTGTTAACCACTTGGTAGCAGTACCAGAAGATGCCAGAGAGTTTGCTGGGTTCCAGACATATACTCCTCCCTGGCCCAGTAAGAATGGATCACCTCAACTAACGTACTAACTCCCCTATTTCTGTGTAACCCAGTGGACAGATGGCATTTCACAGTCGTTTAATGTGACCTCTCCAAGAAATATTTTTCTTTTGAGCATTAAGATTTCTAACCCAGAAAAGTCTAGACTTGCAGGGGTAGGAAGCAGAGATTTTGCAAGTGAGTCACTGGGTGTAGTGAAGTGCCACTCCTACACTTTGGTTTCTGGGGTCATGTTTTCTGGCTTGGAAGAAACCACATCATATACTGATTACTTTTAGGAAAACATATTATAAGCTTAAAAGGTGTTATCTCTCAGTTCAGAGTTGATTTTAAACAGTCCATTACGTTATCCTATAAGGTCAGCTGTAAGATAATAAGGAAATACTACATGGTAATAAGCTTTTAGGGGAATGAGTCCATGGTAAGATAAGCATATCTCAATAGTATCGCTTCATTGTTTTGTTTCTTTTGCTGTAAGATGAATTATCTGGGCAGAAACAATATCTATAGGTGCCATGACAAGGATTATGAGAGCCAGTAAACCCAGAGATAGTACTGCCGTCAAGGGCATACTTAGTGGAGAGACATCTTTCCTTGTTCTGAATGTGGTTTGCCTTCACTGTCACCATAGCAGAGAATGTGAGCTGCCAGACCCCTCAGTGTGGGCCATTTCCAGGTCTCCTCTGTGCCCTGCAGCACTGAGAATTGGTGGACACGGTTGTCCTCAGTGTGATCTTTCTTAATTAAACAATCCTAGTTTTTTTAGCAACTCACATGATACCCAAGCAAAGACTAGCTTTCCCCGCTGCTCTTGCTCGTTGGCCACATGGTTAAGTTATACCTATAAAATAGGACGTTGGTATGAGCAGTGTGCAGTTTTGATTCATGCATGTGAAGGCTAGTGGGATTCCCTCTCCCTTCGTCTTGATTTCCGCTGGTTAAAATGTGGACCTGAGTGCGGGAGCCAGGGTGACTACCTAGAAGTACAGAACAAATATCAAAACAAGTCAACAAGAAAATGGCAGAAAAGGAAGCAGGAAAGATCCTGTATCCTCAACACATCCATTAGAGGCCACAGAGCAGGACAGCTCGCTCACCTGATTAAAGAATCTTCTGTGGAGTGGGATGGAGGGTTAGGTGATCATCATATGGGACATAAATAATCACACATTCCAGTCTGAACCTAAGTGGCTCTGATACTGTGTGTAGCTTACCTAAATCTCCTTATTATTAATTTTCCCAATGGGCATCAGTATCCACTCAGCCAAACTATTGGATGGTTCCCACAAATTGTTGACTGTTTCAGCTTTTGGCCGCCTATCCTTCCTGGTAAAATAGGTGATCATGTTGCCCCTTACAGTTTTTCCCACCAGGCAGGGGATTGTCTTTCAGGGCCACTTTTGGTGCAAGTCTAATTCAACAGCAGTCTACTTCTTGCCAGTGTCAAAATCACCTATAAATCGGGCTTGAACATTCTTCCTGAAGCTATAAATGTAGATAGCATGAAGAGATGTATTAGAAAAAATGCCACTTATCTGTATGTCAAGGAGTTCCTTCAGAACCAGCTCCCAACTGCAGCCTCCACTTGGTGATGGAACGCAATGGGCCACACCCAACTTTTCACTGCTCAGATCTTTTTGGAGGGGCTGCCCTGATATGACTCAAATAATTGAAATCCAAGAAGCTTTAATGGCACATGCAAGACCAAGGACTTTTTTTTTTTTAATCTTTTTTATCGGTACAGGGGATCAAACTCACGACTGCCTGCTTGCAAGGCAGGTGCTTATGCCGCTGAGCTAAATCCCCAGCCCCAGGATCAAGGACTTTTAAGGGATTTGTGTACCACTTTTTGGTACACAAAGTATACCAAATGAACAGTTCATTAAGAAAGTAAAGGTTTATGGTTTCCCTATTAGTGAAGATTAAAATTATCAGATAAACAGCTGCATGTAAGAAGTAGTATTTTATTGATTTGAACCAACCACAATTTTTTTCTTTTTACTATTATAATTTTACTTTTTTTCTTTTTTTTTTTCTGGTACCAGGGGTTGAACTCATGACCTTGCACTTTCCAGGTAGGCTCTATACCGCTGAGCTAAATCCCCAGCCCCTACTTTTTTCTTTTTACTGTTACAATATTTTACACTTTTTGATTAAGCTTATGATGCCAAGATCTATTTGTCATCAGCACAAATCAGTGTCAAATTCAATAGAGATAAGATAGGAATTATACGTTTTTTCTTTTAAGGTCTTTTTGTTTTGTACTAGGGATCAAATTCACGACCTAGCATTTGCCAGACAAGCACTTACACCACTGAGCTAAATCCCTGGCCCAGGGTCTTTTTTTTTTTTTTTTTTTTTTTGGTCTTTTTCGTTTTTATCGGTACTAGGGATCGAACTCACGACTGCCTGCTTGCAAGGCAGGCGCTTATGCCGCTGAGCTAAATCCCCAGCCCTGGCCCAGGGTCTTTTAAACTCTTGCGAACACTGATATCTATGATTTTCTCAGGAATAGAATAGTACTTTTGGTTTGCTGTTTTGATTGGGAGAGACCCTCTCTTTAGCCCTTTCTCCATAGTAACCCACTCTCCTTGAGCTAGAGAGCCAATCTTGTATTCTGCTCTATGGAATAAAAGAAGTAACCATAGCCTGGGTTTGTAAATAACAAGGCGCTGTATGACACAAGCTTAAACACAATCCTATTCATGATCTGACTTCAGTAAACTCAACTGAGCAACAACAATGTTCTGGGTTCCCAAGGATTCAAGGCATTTTGGTGCGGCCTGTTTCTAATAATCCCTGAAAGGCATTTCTCTTTCCACACTGAACAGTTACCCCAATAAGTGACACAGGGTGGTTTTCTTTTAAAAAGAGAAAAAAAAGAAGAAAAGAGCCTGGGAGCTCCACATCTGGAACAATACTGTGAAGAGATCATGACAGTTGGGTTGTCTCAAGTCAGGCTCTGTGTAGATGTAGATTTTTAAAAATTTGCTTATAAAAATCTTTAGTGTGATTCCCAGACACTTAGCTCTAAGGAGCTCACGATCAGTTCATCCTTAAGGACAGAACCATTCCGATGTCCCTCCAGCCCTGCTTCCTGTTATGCTAGCCAAGTCCATCTTGCCTCTGTTCGGTGCTGCCGACCGAGCCCCTGCCATCTCTGTTGATACTGAGGAACATTCCACAGGCAGCAGCTCATTTCCTCATCTCTAGCTTATAAAAGACAGCTCATGGCACCTTTTAAGACTGGGCACACTCTCTTCATCATCACACTTTGCCCAAGTAAAAGAAATATCCCCTGGGACTTCCTGAGAGGGCCAGTTAGGGAACTATCCAGTTATACATGATGAATCTACTTCAACATCCCTAGATTCAGTTGAGTCTGAGTTTTTAGGTCTGTTCTTCTGTATCAGTAATAATCCTGGGGATGGAATTGCTCTCGAAGAACTTTTAGAGATCTGCTGAAACTTTTGGTGTCACAGTGAGTGATGATGCTACCACTGGCATTTGCTTGCAGGCGCCATGAATTCTACATTAGTTCTGGGGAAGACTCACTCAACGGTCAGCTGGCTGCCCTCACTACATTCAGAGGTTCCCTGGAGGATACACCTCTATGTATTGGTGCTATGTGAGAGAAATATATTTATAATGATCTGAACTGAGATCAAATGCCATTTAATATGTATACACAAAGTGTTTTTGTGAGATTTTTAATGGATGTTAAATTTTCTAGAATGCAAGGTTGCATATAAATTAAGGCATTATTATGTCTGTTTATTTGTTTGATTTACTCAGAATTTTGCCTAATTATCTCATCATTTTGGAAAAAGCTCATCACAGATTGCAATGCTGTCTGCAAAACTGTCTTTTTAAATTGAATGCCAGTTTTATTTTCTTGTTTCAATCAGATTTTATTGATGCTTTTTTTTTTTTTTTTGAGATAGAGCCTTGCTATGCAGTTCTGGCTGGCCTCGACTCAAGGCAATCCTGCCTCAGCCTCCTGAGTCCTGGGATTTCAGATGTGCACCACCATGCATGATTCTATTGGTGTACTTTAGATATACATGATCATCACCTTCATCATGGAGAATCTGAACTTGAATTAGAACTTTTTCCCCCTCCCATGCCCTCTCTGTCACCCCTCCCTCCCCTCCTCCTTTTTTAGTGTTTTGAGATAGGGTTTGCTGTGTAGTGCAGGTTGGTTGTGAACTGCCTCAGCCTCCTGAGTGCTGAGGTTACAAGTGATTCCTGGCTCAAGATTGTATCTTTGAACTCAATAATCCGTTTCAGTCTACATTTGCCCCTGCTGTAGTCAAGGTAATTCCATGTATAGACACAGACACCTGACTGTTCCTCATGTGTCCTAGGAGGCTTGTGCCTAACCTACTCATACAATGAGATAATATCTTCATTTTTTCTGTATGGTACTGTTAGAATTTTATATGATTAAAAATAATATGTACAAATAGCTTGTATGGACTATTAGTTTTCAGCTGAGAATATAGAGGGAGACTACCAATATTCATAAAAATATTTACAAAAAATTTTTCACAAAAGTGTTAGGTCTAATAGGATTGAAAAATCACTATTTCAAATAATACCAAAAAATTTCGGTTAACTCAGCATAGAACACTAAATTCCAGACAAGAAGTAAAGCTACTTTCAGCTACTTTGGTTGGCAGATTGTGCCAATCATGTAAGTATTTTGTATGTGGAATTTGTTAATTTTCAGCCACTCTCTAAGGTGTTGCTATCATTAGGTCAATTTTTCAGCTGAAGAAACTGGGATGTTGAGTGACAGAGAAGCCCGATCAAAGTCACACGGCAGTAATGAAACACAGCTGGTTTAGATCCAGGGCCACTCTCTTAACCACTTCTTTGTGATAATCAGGGCACTAGATTGGAAAACATGCCTTTTTCAAACCCCTTGTCTTCAAAGGAGCACTGCAGAAATTATACAGCCTACTCACTGAGGGAAAAAAAGCCCAGCAGGATCCTTGAAGATTTTAGAATGGCTGGGGCAGGTAACTGTTCAGGTAATTTTTCCTCTGGTTCCCTTGACCATGCATGTGGGCCTCTTGATCTCATTGTTTACCTTCTCTACTAAAATGGGTAATTCCTCGAGGGCAAGATCACATGTTATTCCCTCTTTATCTTCAATGTCTAATATATAATAGATGGTCATTTAATTCAAACTCAATAAATTATATCCAAAATGAAGGTCAGTAATTATTTATTCATACTTAGCATGCATGAATACATGTGCCCCAAGGGCACGATACCGTTTTAGACTCTCTGATTGGCTAAGTCCCAGTATTGTCCTCCTAAGAGAGTCCAACATTATTTTCATTGTTTCACAATCAAGGGCTTAACTGTGAAAAGGCCAAGTGACTTAACACAAGTTATTAAGCCAGTCAGGGGTGAAAAAACAAAAAACCAAAAACTGCTCTAGGAGTCTTTTATGACAAAAAGAGCCCCCTAAAGTTAAATTCATGCACATAAGGATACCCCGCAAATTTAAAAACCATAAAGATCCTTTGTGAAAACCAAGCAAAAATTCAAACCCAAAACATTCACTTGTGTTAACTTTCTATGGCTCTGTTAATTTGGAAATCCACTCTAAGGCTCATGCTGAGAAGCATCGTGCCCTGCTATTTTTGTTTTCCACACATTATTTCAGTAATAAGGGCTGCATCCTCCCATGAGATCCCCAGGGCGGATACGAGATAAGCCCGGATGGGTTTACTTGTTTTAGCCTGAGGGAGGAAACGTGGCTGCTCCAGATGCTTCCATGCTCCGCACGCGGGTCCTGGAGGCCGGAGAGGCTGGCAGCACCGCAGACGGGGCGTTCCACGGAGAGCAACAAAGCCTCCGCTCCTGCGGGCACGGCTGCTTTTTTAATAAAAATGTTATTGCAGCATAGTTATTGATGTTTTTGGTAAACAAACTTCAGTGAAGGATCAGTGATCCAAGAGACCTGAGTTTCTAGCTGTGGGAAGTTACCTTTACTCCTTCTGTGTTCCACTGACTCTTCGCACCTTGGTTCATGGCTTCACTGTCCATTGACCTCATCAAGGCAGAAACTTCACATCTGTTCTCCACAGTGCCTGCTCTCATCCTCCTAAGGCTTTCCTCATATACCCAACCTATCTTCTAAGTAAATAAACTTACTAATGTGTATCTACTTCTACATCTGCTGTATGTGTATGTATCAGAATCTCCTCTGTCTCTTCTAAAGCTTGAGCTTCTCCACTCAAAAGTATCAATGACTTGGAAGGCTGAGGTGGGAGGATTGTTTCAAGTTTGAATCCGGGCTGCAAAGTGAGCCTAAGCCCAGCCTGAACGGGGTAGCAAGACCCTGCCTCAAAAAGACCAAAAAAAAAAAAAAATCTCCGCGGCTCAAGGTGAGCCTACAACCTCCTTAGCATTTTTATGCCCTCCTCATCTCTGTAATCAGCTTTTCTTCTATTTCCCTGAAAAATCTCCTCTAACGGCCAATTTCACTTTGCCATGCCCACGTATCTCCAGCATCTCGTGTCTTCGTGTGTCATGGTCCATTAGCCTGCAAAGTCCCGCCTCTGTCTTCATCATGTGGGCAGCTCTTAGAAAGGGCTGGCTTCAAATCACAGCACAAGCGCGGTCCTTCTGCCAGGGGTGCCTTGGTGCTCCCATTTCACGCCTGCGGCACAGACATCGCCTCACCCAGTGGTCTTTAAGGTCCGCTTTCCCAGCTCATGCCCAGTAAGGCAGAGCACTAGGCTTCCTCGGGGGAAAGGGCGGTTAGTGGGAGTGGCAGAGGCCACTGTCTAAAGCGCTTGAGAACTGACCATGAGGCTTCTCTCCAGCTGGCAAGGAGGGTCTCATGGTGGCACAGCCAAAGCCCCAAATGGAGATTCCACACACCACACAAGGGGGGACGCTGGAGATTTCCCTGAACCTGTGTTAGACTTCATCTGAGTAACGAGTAAACTTTTGTTGGTGAAGTCTTTGAGCTCTGAGTTTTATTAGCTACTGTAGTGTAACCTGGTCGGTGCTGTATATCTCTGTTTAACCTTTTATTATGCTTAATTACAATAAATTTTCCTCTATATTGTAAACGTCCAAGTTCAGATGCTGTGCCTTAGTTCACACCTAATACAATGTTATCACCAAAGCCGAACTTGTTGAAAACGGATTCAGCATCTGCAAACTTCATTTCCAAAGCCAGGCCTCCCATGTTTCCTCCCAGTTACCAGGGCACCCCCGCTACCTTGTCATTCAAGCCAGAAACCAGGAGCGCCTTTCTCATTGTCCTAAAGTTTCCTAAAGCAGAGGGAGAAAGGAAAGAGAGGAAAAGAAAACAAAACATGATGAGAAAAAGAAAAAATGGCAACAGCGCTTTTGTAAATGCAGGGGGAAAGAGGGGTTGGAGGGAGGGGAGGGGAATGGGAAAAAAATCAAGTTATATCATGTACAGCTACAAATTCCCTATGATAAATGCGAACTTTATGTACACCTAAAACAGACCAATAAACTTAATTTTTTAAAAATGAAATTTTTTGTCTTTTTGAGATAGGGTCTCACTATGCAGTTCAGGCTGGCCTTGAGTTCACTTTATAGCCCAAGTTGGTCTTGAATTTGCAGTGATTTCCTGCCTCAGCCTCCTGAATGCTGGGACTACAGGAGTGTGCCGTGCCCAGCAAAAATAAAGTTTCGTGATTTAACAAATACTTAGGAGGTTCTTATCGTATCTCTTAAGTCCATCTTGAATTTGTCATGTTCTCTATTCTCTGATCTGTCATATTTTCTCTTTTATAGGGATGGTAGTCCCTAGCTTGTTAAATGACCTTCCATTGCTCCTATGTGATTCTTTTTTTGTTTTGTTTTGTTTTGTTTTGGTACTGGGAAATCAAACTCAGGACTTCGTGCTTGCAAGGCAGGTGCTTATGCCACTGAGCTGTGATTCATTTTTTTCTTCAATAAGAGAAATGTAATTTATAATTTGCAAATATGACCATATTACTTCCATACTTAAATAATTCCTGGCTCACCAGCATGGTGGCACATACCTGTAATCCCAGCACTTGAGAGGCCGAGACAGGAGGATCTTTATGAATTCAAGACCAGCCTGGGGGACCAGGGATTTTGTTCAGTGGCATAAGTTCCTGCCTGGCAAGGGCAAGGCCATGAGTTCAATCCCTGGTACAAAAAAAAAAAAAAAAAGGCCAGCCTGAGTTACAAAGTAAGCTCAAGGCCATCCTGAACTGCATAATGAGAACTTGTCTCAAACAGACAAAGAAAGAAAATAAAATTCCTGGCTGTTTAACATTTTCTTCATTAATTTTCAGTAGCCCCTTTCCTTCTTTCTTTCTTTCTTTTTTTTTTTCCGACAGGGTCTCCCTATGTAGTCCAGGCTTACCTTTAACTCACTATATAGGCCCGGCTATCCTCAAACTCAGGCTATCCTTTTGCCTCAGCCTCCTGAGTGCTGGGGTGATAGACGGATGCCACCACACCCAGCTCTGTGTTTCTTATGTACCACTTTGGTTCATTGTAATTATTTAAATTTTTATTCTTCCCACCACATTTCAAGTGTGTTCAAGGCGTTTCCTTGCCTTACCTTTCTATTTTCAGTTTCTGACATGTAATTGGCAGCAAACAAGTATTTGTTGAATGAATGACAGATACTGGATTGGATCTGTGCTTTGTTTTAGGATAGAGGTGAATGAATAAATACAAGGAAAACAGTAGATGCTTTATAGGTATTTACTGAATATATAAGCAACCACGTAACTTTGAGCAAAAAGGAATTTCCAATACATTCTGAAACATTTATCTACACATATTTTTACTTCCAATATTCTCTTCCTCCTTCTATGTCAGTTAAAAGCCTTGCAACTTTTAAAATTCTAATCCATGGCTCACTTACTTATTCATTGGGGAAGGACATTCTTCAAAAGTCAATTCATACTCCATAGCTGAGTTGCATAACATCATCTAAGTTTTATCCTGCATTGTAAGTACGCTGGAACGATGCTTTGCATTTATGTACCCAGTCTTCTTGACTGCACTGTACATTCCACCAGAACTGCAGCCGTGAGCTTTGTTTTTTTGAAACTCTTGCTTTTGCTGTCTTACATTCTTAAGCTTTCATTGCTTCTCATTGTGTTTTGCTAGAGATCTTTTAGTGATAGCTTTTGGAAGATCAGGAATGGGAAAGATAAATGGGAAAATGCTCAGCAGACAGGTATTTAAATGGACCCTGGCTTTGCCTCCAGGTAGAAATGAACTTTTAGGCTGACTTCTAGGATCTGAGCTAGAGATACAAAGTGCTTGGTGTTCATTGTCTTAGTTGTACTGAGCTCTATCCTAAGGTGTATTTTTTCCTAACAACCAACCATATTTAATAGAACACTTATGAGGCGTAAGATACAATAGAAACAAAAGTGGAAGAGAACAGTTTCTTTAAGTTTATTAAAAACCCAGAATGCCCCAAGTGTGATGATTAATCCTGATATGTCAACTTCATTGGATGACAAAATACCTGGCAGATTAGTAAGCCATCTTCTGGGTGTGATTGGGTGGCTTGTGGAGGTGCAGCCTTGGATACCATGCATGGTCCCTCCCCCGTTCTTCTCTGGCAATTTCTCAGCTCTATTCTCCAGGCCTCCATGAAGTAAGCAGATTATTCTGTCGCACATTTCTGCCGTATTTCTGCTTTGGAGCCGGCCAACCATGGACTGAGTTCCTGAACCATGAGATAAATTAAACTTCTCCTTTAAATCGTGAGTGTCAGCGGGCATGGTGGCACATGCCTGTAATCCTAGTACTTGGAGGCTGATGCAGGAGGATTGTTGCAAGTTCCAGACCAGTCTGGGCTACAGTGTGAACTCAAGGCCAGCCTGAATTACATAGTGAGACCCTCTCTCAAAAAGACCAAAAAAAATAAAATTGTGGCGTCAGGTATTGTATCCAAGCAATAGGAGAGCTGATTAATAACGTCAGATAAACCACACCCACTCATTAGAAATAATATTAACATCTAGTTTAGCTTTACTGCCTTTTTACTTTCAATCTTTTTCTTTTAAGCTCTCAGCTACCAGTATTTAAAACCAAAGAAAAATCAAACAAACAAATAAAACAAAACTCCAAAAAATAAAAAAGAAAAAAGAAATCTTGGTTTTTAACTTCAGGTGACCTAGAATGAGACACACCTGGGAGGCTTGGAATTGCACATGCCTGGAATGTATCCTTTGTTATTGGCCACTGCAGTGCTTGCCTGTGTGAAGAGGATCTTTTCCCATGGCAGCTCTGCTGTGGTGGCGGGAGACACATTCTGTTTTCCGTGGCTTCAGTGTTGCCATGTAATTATATATTACAGACGGGAGATAAGCCTGGTCAGGACAGCAGCCCGATGAAAGATTCTTTCATGCACTCCACAGTGATAAAATGTTTTCATAAAGAATGTGCTAAGACGGAAGTTCTAGGACAGAAAATATCCCGACATTTTAGAATAACATAAAGCTGCTCTGTGGCTTAAAAGGATCTTATCCACAAAATGAGGATAAAGTACTTTTCTTAGTTCTTACACTTACCCCCATGAACAATGTTCGAATGGTATACATGCAGAGTGAAGGAAATCCTGCCTTGCAGTTACTGACCTTAAATTTTAAATGTGTAAAACTGTAACATTTTGGAGGAAAAAAAACAGACATAGAAATACAGGATTTTGGCATCTTGTTATGGTGAAATTCCTTGAGCTTTACTGAATACTGAAAATGCTTTCATTGGTATATTACAGGGCAGCGACTGTTAAGTGTACCAAACTTTGGGTATTGAGCTTAATGATTCCTATGTTTAGGTTTCACAATTCATAAATAAATAAATAAAAAGGCAGGGCTCATTTCCCATGCACACACAGCCACAATTTCTATACGTTTTTTTTTTTTTTTTTTTTTTTTTTTTGGTGGAACCATGAATCAAATTCATGACCTTGCACTTGCCAGGCAGACACTTATGCCACTGAGCTAAATTCCTGACTCTTTACAGCCACAATTTCTGAGATACAGCAAGTTCACTTTATAGCTCCTGAAACCTGGAAGCTATTTTTAAACAGTTGTATTGGTCAGTTTTGGTTGCTGTAACAAACACTGTAGCATGGGCAGGGCAGTTTAAAAAACAGAACTTAATCTTTTCAATGTTCTGAAAGCTGGAAGTTGAGGATCAGGCCGTGGCAGTTTGGCTCCTGGGGAGGGCTGCCTTCCTGGTTTGGAGACTTTGGAGACGGCCGCCTGCGCCTAGGTCCTCACGTGGTGGACTGAGAGGAGGCGGCACAGCGGGGTGCTGGTGGAGATTGGTGTCTCTTCTCACGGAGGGACATGAACCCAGCAGACCAGTGTCTATCCTCATGACCTGTTCCAACCCTAATTAACACCTCACAGCCTGTCTCCAAAGCGGAGCTGGGAATTCAACGTATGATGCTGGCAGAGGAGGAACATTCAGTTTGTAACAATAATTTAAAGGTTTTTTTTCCTTGAAGTACTTCTCCTGGTTGGAAGCTGCCAATGTTGCCAATCTGAAGGAGTAATGGGCTTTTCCTAGCTGGTCTTGCCCATGTGACAGTCATTTCTTTTTGTTACAGAATACAAACTAAGACTATAATATAGAACGTGTATTTTTGTGCATTGCTATTTGTGCAGTGTTACTGTATGTAGATTATTTCTACAAATTGTTTAAAATTTTAAAAATTTGAAAAATATTCAAAGCTGGTACTGATAAGCAAAAACATCCCTTCAGAAATAAATGTCACAGCTATGTATGCTGGTACATACCTGTATTTCCAGTTATTCAGGAGGCTGAGGTAGGAAGATTTAAAATTTGAGACCAGCCCTGGGCAATTTAGTGAGTCCTTATCTCAAAATAAAAAAGCACTTAGGCTATAGCTCAGTGTAGCCGGGCATGGTGGCTCATGCCTGTAATCCCAGCACTCAGGAGGCTGAGGCAGGAAGATCGTTGCAAGTTCGAGACCAGCCTGGGTTACAAAGTGAGCTCTAGGCCAGCCTGAACTGCACAGCGAGACCCTGTCTCAAAAAGAAAAAAAACAAACATAGCTCAGTGTTCCCTAGGCTCAATTCCCATTGCCACAAATAAATAACTCATCATTTCGGACATAATTATCAAACCTGTAAGGATGTTCATTTGAGATGAACAGATGATACATGTGAACTGATGTGTGACACTTGCTGTTCCCCAGTCAGTGCAGGGGCAGAGGCAGAACTGCATCATGGTGGTGACAAGGACTCAGGAGGTAGACGGCCGTGACGAGACTCAACTCTGGCACTTACAAGCTGTGTCATCTTGAGTGAGGTACTGAACCTCTACACCTGTATTTTGTCATCTACTAGAGGGGCATGAGCTAATATCACAAATACATACCTGGTAGGATTGTCACAGAGACTAAAGGAGGCAGTGTATGTGCAGAGCACTTAAACTGTCATTGCTTTGTGTAAAACCCAGATAAGCATTTGCTATTGTCGTGGAGCACAAAGAGCGCTGGCCCGTGGGTCATACGTACTGAGTTTGAGTTCCATGTTCATCAGCAGCTGAAAGACTCTGGACAACTTCCTTTCTATTGCTCTAGTTTCTTTGCCTGAAAATGGGGATTATTACAAATATGAAGACTAGTTGCAATGGTAGAGGTAAGATGCTTAGAAGTGTGTCTAGCACACAGTAAGTGCAGAGCAGATCGCGGCTGTGGATGTTATGTCCATATTAGAGAGACTGAACCACATACATGTTTCCTAACTTACAAATGCAACGTGAAGTGATAAATATGGCATCAAATGAAGGATGTTATATCCTGTCTCAGCAGCTTGGAGAATAGCAAGATCACATATTTTTTTTTACAATTTTTTTTTATTGGTACCAGGAATCGAACTCATGACTGTGCGCTTGTAAGGCAGGCGCTTATGACGCTAAGCTAAATCCCCAGCCCCAAGGTCACATATTTTTAGTAGTAACGTGACCCCAATCACCTGTCTTGCTTATTAGAAGAACGTCTTGCTTTTTTTTTTTTTGGCTCCTGTGTCTTGTTAAGTCGAGGACTCGGGGGCTGCCGGTGAGTCTCGAGGGGTCAGCTCTGATGTCTTGCTCTTTTGGAAGGCCAGTGCTGCCCATATGGAGCCCATTGTGGTGGTCAGACAGGTGCTGCTGCCAAGTTTCCCTTTGCAGTTCGCACAAACCAGAATCCTCTTCCTCATCTCCCTAATGTACAGCAGTCTTTATGATCTGAATGAGGAAATCAAGGTGTCAGTTGTTAGCAAACAGAATAGTAACAAAGAGAACTAGAAAATCTGCAAATGTTTGGAAATTAAGCAACACATTTGTAAGGACCATAATAAAATTTGCCATAGAAATTAGAAAATATTTTGAATAATAATTCTAAATCACATCAAGACTTGCAAGATGTAGCTAATGTAATACATGGAGGGAAACTTTTATCTTTAAGACTATGAACAAAGAAATAAATGACTTTAATTAATTATCTAAGATTACATCTCCAGAAGTTAGAACAGGATATTGAACTCAAAGTTGAAGGAAGGAAATAATAAAAAAACATAAAATGACTTAATAAATAAATAACAGAGAAATCTTTTGGCAAAAAATTTTGGCAAAGTCATAAACTGGTAATTTGTAATAACTATTAAAACTGATCAGCCAGGCATGCTGGTGCACGCCCGTAATCCCAGTGTAACAAAATTAGTGAGACAAGAGTTAGGATTCTATTAGGTAGTAAGAACAGCAGCCCCAAAATGGAGTCAGCAAGCCCAAAAGCAATGGTCTGAGTCACAACCTTCCAGGTATCTTACAAAATCATCTGCCAGGTGTCCTACAGCTGTCTGGGACCTTCCCATTCCCCAGAGCATGTTCATACAGGACGCTGGCTCAAGGGTACACAGGCCCTGTGCGGACCCAGCGTGAGCACTGCATAGGCTGGAGCCTAAAAGATGCACAGTCTCCTACAAGGTAGAGATTTCATGTTGCTCACACAGTGGTGAGACCCTTCTAACCTCTTTAAAACTTCTACACCAAGAGCCTTTTTGGGTGTCTTACTCTGAACCCCCTCCAGGCTAGTGGGAGCTTTACTTCCTGGCCTTTGTATCTTTTATTTTCTTCCCTTTATAATTTTAAAATAAATTTGCTTGCATCTACCTCCTCTGTCTGTGGAAGTGTCACCATGGGATACCACCTTGGCATTCTGGCAACACCAGCACGTGGGAGGACTGCATCTAGTTCAAAGCCAGCCTAGGACAGCCCGAACTACATAGCAAGACCCTCTCTCAAAAGAACAGCACCCCCCTCCCACCAGACCAAAAAACAAAACAAAAACAGCAAAAACCAAAATACCTGATAAACCATAGAAAGCAAAAGAGAGAACACAGGGCTGGGGATTTAGCTAAACGGCACAAGCACTTGCTTTGCAAGCATGTAGTCGTGCGTTTGATCCCTGGTACCAATAAAAAAAAAAGAGAGAGAGAGAGAGAGAGAGAGAGAGAGAGAGAACACAAACATCAGGAATGAATACAGTTCCTACCATATTAAAAAGAAAAAAGTAAACTTTGTGTCAATGAATTTTGAAAAATTCTTTGAAAAACACAATTTCCTAAAACTAAGCATAGAAGAAATACAAAATTTAAATAGTATGATAGTACTAACACACACACAGCCTAACTGGTGTCACTGATTAAATCTTCCAAATATTTAAATGAAATATACTTAAAATGACTCTTCTAAAAAACAGAGAAATAGGAATACTTCTCAATTTGTTTTAAAGGTCAGCATGATCTTAATACTAAATCCTGAGAGGTATGCCTAGGTTTTCTTTAGAAAAATGATAATAGAGAATATTACAGGGCAATTTCTCTCATCTGACATAGACAAAATAATCCTAAATAAAATATTAGAAACAATACAATCATATTGAATTTATTTTAGGAATGTGACTTTGGTTTAACATTAAATCATCAGTGTAATTCTCTGTATTAACAAAATAATATTATATGATATTATGGTAGAAGCATCATATGTACTTTTCAATAGATGCAGAAAAATCATAATGAATTCTAACCTTCACAGTTTAAAAGTATTTATCAAACTAGGGTGTGAAGAGAGAGTCTTTAATTAAACAAAAGAAAAATACAAAACATGTACAACAAACATTTCCTTAGGGGTAAGGTATTGAAAATTCCCTGAGACCAGGAACGAGATAAATGTGTCCACTGTCCCCATTTTACTTTATCTTTATATTAGGTGCCATAACAAGTCCGAGTAGACAAGGAAAGATCTAAAAGGTATCGAACATGGAAAATAAAAAACAGATCTGTTACTATGCACAAATGATCTGATTGTATAGATGGAAGCTCTAGGAATTTACAAACTATTGGAAATAAGTGAATTTTTTTCTATTTAACATTTTACTAGGCTACTTATTTAGGGGATTTATACAAAAAAATGTTGAAGAAGAAAAAAAGGCATCCAAGTTGAAACTAACAAAATTATCACAAGTGATAATGCATTCATTGATAACCATAAAGGATCCAGTAAGAACTAATAGATTTTAATGAGTTCAACAAGGTTACAGGGTACAAGATTCATGAACATAAAATCAATTGGGCTTCTGTACATTTGTGAAAAATTCAAAAATGAAATTTACAATAGCATCAAGAAGTACAAAAGAAAATTATTTCTGAGACAGGGTTCTACAACACAGTTCAGGATGGCTTTGAATTCACCAGTTAGTCCAGGGTAGCCTTAAACCTGTGGCAGTCTTCCTGCCTCAGCCTTCCAACTGCTGGGCTCACAGGCATGCACCACCATGTACAGCCATAAAATATTTTTATAATTAATTTTATTGGTACTCTTTTTGTCTTTTTATATTATATAGTATAATATAGTTTAACTCACTTTGTAACCCAGGCTGGCCACAAGCTCACAGCAATCCCGGTTTCAGCCTCCTGAGTGCTGGGATTACAGGTGTGCAACACCGCACTAGGCTGCTGATACATTTTTGCATACATAATGATCTCATTTATTGTAGGGAGTCTGTACTTGTACATGATACAGTTTAATTATTTTTTCCCATTCTCCTCCCTTCCCTTCAATTGTTCTTCCCCCCTACATTTACAAAGCTTTGGTTATATTGTTTTTCTTTCATTCTTTTTAACTTTTTTCATCCCTACTCCCTTCCTTACCTTCATCTGCCCCCTCTTTTGTTCTTCTTCCTATTTAAACATTTTTGGTGGGCTGGGGTATAGCTCAGTGGTACAGCACCTGTCTGACAAGCACAAGGTCATGAGTTTGATTCCCACTACCAATAAATAAATAAACAAACAAACATTTTCTTCCCATTTCCCAGTATCTATTCTCCAGTTTGTCCTTATTTACCTTTTGGATTTCTTTTTTTTTTTTAATTTTTTTTTTTTTGTCTTTTTCCTTTTTATCGGTACCAGAGATTGAACTCACGACTACCTGCTTACAAGGCAGGCTCTTATGCCGCTGAGCTAAACCCCCAGCCCCTCCTTTTGGATTTCTTACATGAGAAATCAATGCAACATTTAAACCTGTATGTCTGGTTTATTTCACTTGTGCATCAGCTTACCTAGCAATGTCTCAAGGTTATCCTTCTTTGTGGCAGAAGAGTACTCTACTGTTTGTACAAACCGTATTATCCACTCATTCATTGATAGGCATGTGGACTGTTTCCAAGATTTATCTATTATAAACTGTGCTGTCATAAATATGAGTGTTGCATATGCACCACTATGGTATGTTGCTTTTAACTCCTTTGGGAAGTTACCTAGAAGAAAAATAGCTGGGCCAAATGGAAGTTCTAATTTTAGTTTTTAGGTTTTTGTTTTAGGGAAATCCCATACTGATTTCCACCAACAGTGGAAAAGGGTTTCTTTTTCCCCACAGCCTCTCTAGGATCTGTTATTTGCTGATTTCTTGAAGGCAGCCATTCTTTGTGGAGTAAGACGGAATCTCAGTGTTGTATAAATTTTCATTTCTCAAATGACCAATGATGTTGAGCATTTTTTTCACGTATTTATTTGCTGTTTGTACTACTCGCCTGAGAAGTGTCTATTCATGTCAGATGCCCATTTTTGGATTCAATATTTAAATTTGGGGGATCTGATTGTTTTGAGTTTGTTTTTTTTTTTATGGTACTAGGAGTCAAACTCTGGACCTTGCACTTACCAGGCAGACATGTGTGCCACTGAGCTATATCCCCAACCCTTAAGTTTTTAATGTACTCCAGATATTAGTTCTTTGTCTGAAAAATAGCTGGTAAAATTTTTTTCTCATTC